AGCTAGCTAGCTAGCTAGCTAGCTGCTTCTGCTGCAGCACCTCTTGTTACTGCTACATAGCTAGCTATGGCTAGCTAGCTAGCTAGCTGGCTACCTAGCTAGCTGCGCTCAGCAGGCTCTCTTTGCCTAGCTGGCTGTGGCTAGCTAGCTAGTGGCTAGCCACAGCGACTTCAGCTAGGTATTTTTTGTCGCCAGCAACACGCCGCTGGGCCCAGCTAGCTAAGCTGGCCCCCGCTAGCTAGCTGCAGCTAGCTATGGCTAGCTAGCTGCAGCTAGCTCCGGCTAGCTAGCTGCAGCTCGCTATGGCTAGCTAGCTGCAGCTAACTATGGCTAGCTGCAGTCCCATTCTAGCTAGCCTCCGTTAGCCCTAGTTGGTTAAAGCTAGCCGTAGCTAGCTAGCCGCAGCTAGCCCTAGCTAGCTAGCCGCAGCTAGCCCTAGCTAGCTAGCTGCAGCTAGCCCTAGCTAGCTAGCTGCAGATACCCTTGCTAGCTAGCTGCAGCTAGCCGTAGCTCGCTAGCTGCAGCTAGCCCTAGCTAGCTGCAGCTAGCTGGGGAAACGTGTGTCAGCGGTGGCTAGCTGCAGCTAGCCAGGAGCAAGAGCTCTTGTCTTTGCTGCAGCAAATGGACTTGTGGGGTGCTGCGCAGCGCTGAGGTGTACGTACACCTCAAATCGCAGCTGCTGCAGCAGCGCCACCTTGAAATGTTGTAATCTTTCTTTGCCATTTACAATTCTTTTAGTTTTTATTCATATTTATATTTATAATTATATTTATATTCCTAATTATTTTTATGTTTATATTTATACTTCCGCACGAAACTCTTGGGAATAGAAGGCTATGATCCATACGTCGCCTTGCAAGTCTCAACAAAAACCCTTATGGCTTGTTTTTCATCTGCCGCTGCTGCTGCTGCTGCTGCTGCTGCTGCTGCTGGTTGGGGGGGTGCGGGGGTGGGGTTCTGCTGCTGCTGCTGCTGCTGCGTTTGCTGCTGCATTCCTTTGGCACTCGTTCGATCCCAACAGCTGGCTCTACCCCCCTCTCTCTCCGCTGCTGCTGCCGCCGCTGCTGCTGCTGTAAACTATTCGTGTCAGCACTTTCCCTACTTTTAAGCACAGAAGTCTGTTTAATGTGTCTGCAGCCGCTGCCTCTTTCCGGGAAACTAAAGGAAAACAAATGAACAGAATTGAGTCAAATAAATAAATTAAAAAATAAATTGAATATATAAATCAAAATAAATTAATTGAACTAATCAATTCAAATAAATAAAACCCCAATAAATAAACTTCAGAGCTGCACCTCGGGTGTATAGCCAGCTCACAGCTCCTGAAGTGTACCTACACCTCAGCAGTAGACACACCGCCATGGCGCTCAGGACGAGCTAGCTAGCTCTGCAGTGCTTTAGCTAGCTAGCTAGCTAGCTAGCTAGCTAGGTATATTGCTCCTCATAGCAAGCTGGCTAGCCAGCCAATTAGCTAGCTAGCTAGCTAGCTAGCTAGCTGGCTAGCTGGTACTCTCAAAGGCACGCAGTTATCCAGGTGGTAGCTGGTTGCGTTTCTAGTCAGCTGGGCGTGCAGCTAGCTAGCTAGCTAGTTAGCTAGCTAGCTAGCTGGTAAGCTAGCTAGCTAGCTAGCTGGGCAGCTACCTAGCTGGACAGCTAGCTAGCTAGCCAGCTAGCTAGCTAGGTATAAGAGCGCAGCAACGGTCCCGCACTGAGCCTCCTTGTAAACTCCCTAAACCCTAAACCCCAAACCCTAAACCCTAAACCGTAGGCCCTAAACCCTTACTCCAGGCCATTCAAAGGAACAGAGCATCTGCGCTCTTGGAGGCTTCTCCCACTGAAGAAGAAAGGAGCAGCAGCAGCAGCAGCAACAGTAGCAATAGGAGCAGCAACAGCAACCAGCAGCAGCAGCACCAGCAGAAGCAGAAACAGCAGCAGCAGCAGCAGCAGCCCTGAAGTACACTGGCAATGGGTTTTTTTGTGAGGTGTATGCGGAAACTTCGGCCGCAGTTCACACCGCCCAGGAAACTGTCGAGGGTTTAGGGTTTAGGGTTTAGGGTTTAGGGTCTAGGGGGTAGGGTGCAGGGCTTAGGGTTTAGGGTTTAGGGTTGAGCGTTGTAGTGGAAGAGAGGGCGTTTGACAATTCACCGTGGCCATGAGCCTCAACACTTTTTTTTAGTGTTTAAGAATTAGGGTTTAGGGTTTACGATTTAGGGCTTAGGGTTTAGGGTTTGGGATGACGCATGCTGGCACGTGCGGGGCTTGGCTTGGGAGTGGGCGCAGCAGGTGGTTTGTAGGTAGCAGCATACCATCTTTTGTTGCGAGTTAAGAAGGGTTTAGGGTTTAGGGTTTAGGGTTTAGCAACTGCAGTCAACGCAGGCTCGAGGGTTTAGGGTTTAGCGTTTAGGGCTTCCCGCCGCATGCTGACGGCGCTCCTGTGTTCCCCCTCTGTGCCCATTGTTTGAGGGTTAAAGGTTTAGGGTTTAGGGTTTAGGGTTTTCCTGCATGCCAGCTTTTCTCTTCTCCAGGGGTCTACAAGCAGCAACAGCAGCAAAAGCTGCCGCAGCAGCGACAACAGCAGCAGCAGCAGCCGCCGCAGCAGCAGCAGCAGCTGCAGCACCTCCTCAGCTCGCATCTTCCCAAACCCTCAGGGAATCAGACTCTGTAAAAATGAAGCCGTCTGGGGCCTCTTCGAGCGCGACAGTGAGTCTAAACCCTAAACCCTAAACCCTAAACCCTGGGGCGTAGTTCGAGAGGGTGTCTTGAGTGGAAGGCCTCAGGCCCTAGCCCAGAAGCTAAACCCTAAACCCTAGTTTGCTGCTGCTAGTTTCCCTCGACTGTGTGGCGCAATAAGTTGCAGCAGCTGCCCCTGCGCTAGGGTTTAGGGTTTAGGGTTTAGGGTTTGTGTGTTGTTACACCTGCGCGCTTCATCCTGCGGCTGCCACAAGCTAAAGCCACTTACCCGCCACGTCTTTAATGCCTCGGGGCTCAGCTCGAAACCAGGGTTAAGGGTTTAGGGTTTAGGGTTTAGGGTTTAGGGTTTGCGCAGCCGAACGTGGCGCGGTACTACGCGGACGCGAACGTAAACCGCCCGAGGCAGTATTGGGATTATGAAAACTTTGCTGTGAATTGGGGCGTAGGGTTTGGAGGTGGGGTTTAGGGTTTAGGGTTTAGGGTTTAGGGTTTAGGGTTTAGGGTTTGCGCAGCCGAACGTGGCGCGGTACTACGCGGACGCGAACGTAAACCGCCCGAGGCAGTATTGGGATTATGAAAACTTTGCTGTGAATTGGGGCGTAGGGTTTGGAGGTGGGGTTTAGGGTTTAGGGTTTAGGGTTTAGGGTTTAGGGTTTAGGGTTTGCGCAGCCGAACGTGGCGCGGTACTACGCGGACGCGAACGTAAACCGCCCGAGGCAGTATTGGGATTATGAAAACTTTGCTGTGAATTGGGGCGTAGGGTTTGGAGGTGGGGTTTAGGGTTTAGGGTTTAGGGTTTAGGGTTTAGGGTTTAGGGTTTGCACAGCCGAACGTGGCGCGGTACTACGCGGACGCGAACGTAAACCGCCCGAGGCAGAATTGTGATTATGAAAACTTTGCAG